TAAATGCGCCTGACGATGGTGTTCTCGCACTAACGCTGACCACGAAGATGGCGTTGCGAGGTCGTTTATCAATCGCACCCCGTGGTTTACAGAGTCGTAGGTATTGCTCAGGCCGACCTGTATCAATTTTCCCCATTTCCTTTTTCTTTGAGCTTGTAACTGCTGGGCAGTTCATTCGAGGAACCAGTCCTTGTGAACTGTTGCCAACGTCTCCCCAACTTTCGTCTAGCCCAACAGATTCAGACGTGTAGCACTTTGTAAGGTTTGAGTCACGGATGGCAGGCAACATTACCGCGTCAACGTGCAGGAGCAAGGTCCCTCATCACTTCTAGGCCATCACGTAGCAGTATGCCAGGCAGTAGCTGATCTTTATACGTGTAAGATAAATCTGTTCAAGAAATGCATACCAATTGCATTCCTTAACAAAAAATTCTGAACCTCTGGTTCTGACATCATGGGTCGTTCTCACCTCACTAGAAATTCTTTTCATCAGGTGTACAACGTTGATTCTTCGGAAATAAAAAAAACCGCACATAATGTTCACTGTGCAGTTCGTTAGAAAATTAATCACTGTGCGTTATAGCGATCGAGATGTTTGAGCAACATCTACGCGACATTCTGGAAGCCAGTAAAGAAATACGGAATCGATGCATCTTTGATGCGGAAACACGTTTGAAGGGAAAGCTGTCCAACCCACCATCGAATACCAAACTTTACGAAACGGTGTGAACTTCAAACGTCTTGACGTCGATGTACAAATTTATTCGACTTTTGTCGACAGTTCTAACTGTGCGAACCAGCTTACTGGAAGCAATTCAATTGCACAAAAAGTCAATAAAACGTAAAAGTTTCGAAAAACAAGAGTGGCTGATATCAAACAGATTCGATACATACAAAACATTTCTCTGAAAAATCTAAAGCATGAATGATACAAAAATTGAGTTCGAAATCCCGTCGTATAAACATAATATCACGTAATGAAACTTAGTGACCAAACTGAAAGATTCAGTCTGAAGCACAAAAATGGAAAAGCCGAATAAGGCCATGAGAAACTAAAATGGGCAAGCCTTTCGGCTTCAGACTAGCAGCGCACGAAACAAAACTTTCATCGCAAACGAACATAGTCAGAAGCGACCATCACATCAAAAGAATTAACCGAAGTAAAAAAATACAGTTTAAAGATAAACAAAGACTTCAGAAAACGATAAGCCTGAGTATCAACAATACAGTGTGAAAAGCCAAGTCAAATCTCCGTTGTGGATGTGACTCTCGCAGTAGTGACTGCAGCTTGGTAAGACATTCGATCAGCAGGTACGTTCAGATTGTCACGAAAACGAATGCTTTCTTGCATAACGTCATCATAAGACGGCGGC